GGGCTGGCTGGCATGTGGTGCTGGGGGATTGAACCAGGGTCCCCGTGCTTTGCTAAGCTTGTTGTAAGTAGGCGCTTTAGACCACTGAGCCATCTTACCAGCCCCAAACTAAAGGCTTTTATAGGTAATTGGATACAGCTAGAGACCATAGTCATAAGTGAAGCAAATCAGACCCGCATGTGCAGATATTGGATTGTCTTGCTAGTGTAAGAACCTGAAAGAATAAATACAATTCAAAGGGCACAAATAGATATTGTGAAAGGGAAAGAAACTGCTCAAAAGGAAAGAATATCTGGGATGAGGGAAAGGAGGAAAGAAAGAAAGAAAGAAAGAAAGAAAGAAAGAAAGAAAGAAAGAGAAAGAAAAAAGTATACTTCTAGTTTCTATTGGTTTATTGAAAGGAAGTTAATGCTTAATCATTTTTGACCAATTTTACATGCTTGTATCTGAACAAAACTTTGAAGACAAATAACAACATTATTGAATTTTTGTCATCTTGTTTTTTTAAATTCTGTTTTATTTCTAATTTTCTAAAATTATTTTTTACTCTCTTTAAACTAAAAAAGAACTCTCAGTGTCATAGCCCACTAATTTCATATATAGATATTAATCCTCTTTTCTATGAAACTGTAATACTGCTGTTTAAAATGTGTAACACCTACATGTTTCAGGGTTGTAAGCCCTGTTGGAAGGTAAAGTATTAAAATTTTCATTGGAGTTTAATCAAGTAAGCATTGCTGTTTAACCATCAGTAATCGTCTAATTTTGTTGGGGTCTTTTGAGGGGAAGGATTTTTAAGAATGACCTATGAAGCTCAGAGTTAAAGCTAACAATCAACATTCAAAAAGTAATGAATAACTGATTATGTCCTCACCAAAAATTGTGTGGTGTTGATGAGACTATTGGCCTGTCCACTGCAGGCTGATGGACGGAGTGAACAAAAATATATTAAGTTTTTGGGATGAACAACTTTGAAACCAGCCTAAGTATCAATTTATCTCCATGGAGTAATGGCACCCACAGTGAGAAGGGTCTACGTTAGGTCCTGTGAAAAATACAAAAGAAGGCTGAGATTCAGGCAGGCCCCTCTGGGAGCTGCGCACAGAGGAGCAACAGCAGAATGATAGGGAATCAAGAGTCACGATGTCCAGTGAAGACCGAATTGCTGCTGTACAGGGAGGAACTGGGGGATGGCAACAGGAAGTGTGGGACCAAACTGTGTTGCTGAGGAAGGAGAACCGGAGCTGGACTTGGGAGCTGAGCAGCCCAGATGTGGGAGGAAAGGCCAGCGAAAGCATGAAGGGAAAATTACAGTTGTGCCCTAAGAGACAGAGGGAATGATTTATTCTACATGAGTGGAATCTGCAGGTGAAGTTACAGGTAGAAATGAGTCAGGGTATGTCCAGCAGATATTGCAGGCTCAGAAGCCAAGGAACTAAAAGTGAAGTTGCTGGAGAACACAGTAAGAATTTTCCTTTGTGTCAATGTGGTCTAATAGTTATACATAATATTTATTTAGTAATCTATAGTTTGTAAAATAGCTTTATATATTATTTAATTATCAACACTTGTGATGCAATTTTTTTTTTACAGATAAGGATGTTGAGCAAGTCTAAGCCAGCTGTGGTGGCACATGCCTGTGATCCCAGCACTTGGGAGGCTGAGGCAGGAGGATCACCAAGAGCCTGGGGTACACAGTGAGTTCAAGGTGAACCACAGAGGGAGACTCTGTCTCAAACCATCAAAATGAAGCAAACACGTTGAGTCAAAGAAGTTGACTGCCCTCTACTCTGAGCATCCTGCGTTTTGCTCTCCCCACAGCTTTGCACCATGAAGGCAGTATTTGTCTCATGCTGCATGTTACAGAATTATGCATACCACATCATATAAGGAAAAATGCAAGGTTGAGAGACCACAGCAGAAAACTTGGTGTGAACGAAAGAGGTCCTAGACTAGGTATAGAAGCAGTGGGAATCAGAGGGGAGAATGGAGAGAAATTGCGAAAGTGTAACCAACAGAAATCGGTAAGTGGTTGAATTTCAGGGCCAAGGCAAGGTGAGAACAAAAGGCAGTGCCACGGTTGAAGGTCTGAGTGAGAGAATGCAGGTGCAGTTCACAGTAGCAGAGGAAAAGTTCAGCTGCTAAGTCGGGACTAAGGTGTTTGGGTCATCAGGGTGGAAACTGCCTATGTGACAGCCCCGCATCCACCATGCAGTAAAATATCTTTAAAACATGTTGAATTTTCATTTCATATGATTCTATTATCTAACCATTTTCACAAGACTAGGGAAAATGTGCAGTGAATCAAAAAAACAAATGATAGCCTAAAGAAGGGCAGTGGGCCTGGTGTGATGGCATATGCTTCTTATTCCAGCACTTGGGAGGCTGAGGCAGGAGGGTCATTCTAAATTTGAAGGCAACCTGGGCTACATAGTGAATTCAAGGCCAGCCTGAACTACAGAGTTAAGACCCTATCTCAAAAAAGGTGGGGCGGTGGATGGGTGGAGGAGCATAGACAAGAATAAAATATTTTTGAAAAGAAGAATAGAAAGCTAAGGATCAAACTGGGGAATGGATAAAGAAGATGTGGTATTTTTACACAATGGAGTATTATTCAGCCATATAAAAGATAAATATGGGGATTTTATCAGGAAATGCATGCAACTAGAGACCATACTCTTAAGTGAAATAAATCAAACCCACATGTGCAAACATTGTATTATTTCTTTAGTACAAGAACATGAAAGAGAAAATAAAATCTGAAGGGTACAATAGACACTGGGAAAAGGGAATGACCTTGTTCAAAAGGAAGGAATTACTGAGATGAGGCAAAGGACAGGAGAGGGAGTGGGGGAAAGAGGGGTGCCTATGTATGTAAGCAGGATGGTTTGGATAATTGTACTGCGGATTTCTGCTGGTCTATGGAAAGGAGCAGTTAATGCTTAATTAGTTTTGTCTTCTTTTTTCAACTCTTTTTCCTTTTTCTCTCTTCTTGATTTCTTATAAATTATTATTTTCTTTCTTCTTCCAATTTTGCATGCATATATCTGGTAATATGGACAACTAATTTGAAGACAACACTAAAAAGTACAACAAATACTGTGAAATTTGTATTATTTTGTCCAGCAAAATTCTGTATCACTTGTAATTTTTTCTGCTTTAATACTATTTTGTACTCTTTTTTAAAAAGTTTTTTTTAAAAAATAAAAG